CTTTTCTATTGTAATAATTTTCAGTATTTCAAGTATTAACGCATTATTCTTGTCTTTAATCACAATTCATAGTTTATATAAGTTTCTATCCAATTTAACACAATGAATACGACTACATACGTAATTTTCAATTTTTATAATTTCAAAAATTTTAGTATTAGTGTACCAGTTTGATAGTATGTTCAGTATATATAATTTTTGATGTATATTAATTTTTATGCTGGTGTGCGTGTGCTATATTGACGTGAGTTTTTCGGTACACAGCTAACTTGGTAATTGGATAAAGAAGAATGAGCTGTGTCGTTTCTTTGGAAATTGCGAATAGTATGTAAGCGATTGTAGGGTATTTTATATTGATAAGGACCCAAAAATAGGGGTCGAAACGTCTATGTATTTAATTTATGATATGACTTGTTTAATTACACGAAAATAAATTGTACATCCGACTAACAGATGTTTGGCTTTGATGGGCTTGCTTATTATTATTATAATTAAACAAACTACTAACTGAACATTAACAAGTTTTAAAAGCATTTCATCTCAATAAAACTTGAAGATAACAAAATTCTAAAATCTTTTTTTACGACGACTACAGGCATGATCTAAAAATGAATTATCCATTAAATAATTTTCAATATAAAAACAATAAATTCATGGTGGAAATAGATAGCGTTTATTAGCAGAATAAAATATTCAGTTTAGCAGAAAACGCCGATATCTCATATTAAGCGCCTATCTCATAATAGGGGCTTTCCTCTGTGTGTGTGTGTCGCGTTTCATGAAATTTACAGTTTATTTCATCAGGACCAGGAGCGCTGATACTGAGTATCAATGCGCTACTCGCCCTCATGAAGTGAATGGCAAGGTTCATGAAACGTTGGCATTAGTAAGAAATCACAGTATAAACTAGATATTTCAGCAATTTTAAGAAATTGCGACATTGAAACTTAGACGTTTATGTAAACAATCTGAAAACCCTTTGTGTATCCGGTTTGTATTTATTTAGACTTACACTAATTACCTCTATATGGCAGTCATATTGGATCTGTACTATTTAGAATTTTTGAAATCTGGGTAAAAGTTTATATTAGGGGAACCCCGCCTCCCCCCTCCAATGCCTTAACCTTGATATATTGTCAAGGTCGTGATTCTAAGTGATCTTTAATAGATTTTAACCATCGTTTGTTATTCGTTAAAAAGTTATTAACAATCAAAATTGGTAATTGTTTCCCCACTTTGCATGAAAAGTCGGATGACTAAGCAGGAGGAGAGATATGAGGTGGAATGTAAAGATGACTAAGGAAGTACAACTTTCCACGCGAAGCAAGATCCACCTCACCTTCTCCCCTACCTAGGAGTGCACAACTTCCCACGCTAAGCGAAGTTTACATTAGTCATTACATCCCTCCCCATCCCTGCCTAGGAGGTCGTGTTACTCTAACAAGAGGGGAGGCGGGGTGGGCCTCGCTTTACGTGGAAAATCTTGTGTCCACTGTCCCTAGATAGGAGAATGAGAAAAATGTGGAGTGGATCTCGTTTCGCGTAAAATCGTTACAAAAGCACAAATTTTCTGCTTTAAAAACATAAAAATTATACTTACAAAATTTTTGTTTTTAATACAAAAAATTTATTTAAAAACAGAATTTTTGTTTAATGTATCGTAGAAAAGAGACGTTATTTCTTAAATTTAATAACTTTTTAACGGATAACAATCGATGTTGACTAAAACGTGTTGAAGATCACTCAATTTTATAGAAATCTGTTTAGAAAAATATGTCACACAAAAGGATTAAAATAATGTATCGATTTGTTTTTAAAAAATAGCTCTACATATTATGACTGAACAATTTTTCTTTGTCAAAATTAAGTTTGTTAAATTACCATATTTTATATTTGTAATATTGATATAATTACTTTTATTTGAAACAAAAGGAATATATAGTTGTTGTGTGTGCAATAAAAAAATATCTAGTTAGAAATAAAAAAGAAAAATGTAATAAATAGCACAAGACACTATAATTAGTAGTATCAAACATATCATTACGTGGATATGTAACGTGATTGCATTAAACATGAAACAGAAATAGCGCATAATACATGTCTATTTCCATGTTGACAATACATGTAATAATAGTGAACAAAATAATATTGTATGTATGTTTGCATACAATCTGTGACTGTCAAAATCAGAGCATAAATTTATTACAGAGATAACATGCGATACACATACACGCGCGCGCGCAATGAACAATTAATAATTGTATTCTATAAAAAGTATAATTACATTTTCTAGATGAGAAAATGCACAAAACTTTTATTCTTTCTAGTCAAAAATACATAGACATTATTGATGAAAGGAATTCATGAAAAAGGTATAGTATGTATATTTAACTCTAATATTCTATCGTTTACTGTAGAATCAGTGAACGACGCTCAAATAAATCAGATTTATAAATCAAACAATTTTTCAATAGAGAATACTTTTAGTATTATTCTATGTAGATCTTTGGCCTTCCTCAATAATTATGCACATAGTTATTACAATATGCATTATAGTTATACATACCTATTTTACTATTTACTATCTATCATGTCTTTCCAGTTATAACATGCTCTAGATATGTCGATATATTATAATTCTCTTATATATTTTGATTGTTATATATTAGAATTGTTTAGAATGTTACATTTTAATCATTGTAATTTTGAATACCTATATACATTTGTAAATCAGAATTGGAAAGTGTACGTCCGTTGTCTGCCTTTGTATAATGATTCGTAAATGATACACAATTTAGACACACTATGAAAAAAGAGAAGAGCAACAATACATTCTAAAGAAAATTCTATGTAGTAAATTTTACTTTGTTACAAATACGATTAGATGAAATATCAAATTGAATAATTTTACATAGTATAAACGTGGATCATAAGTAATCTTTAAAAAGGCTAAAGGTGAGTGTGTGCGTAGGTGTTATATTTATGCAGCATACATACACGGTATGTCGCAAAATATAAGAAATATCAAATAAATTTCTATATGCATTTATTTCATGTATTTTACATATGAAAGATCTAACATTAGAGTTATAAAGACAAAAATAGTAATAATATACATATAATTGAAATATTTGTTATAAGTTTTATATATATATATATATATATATATATATATATACACACACACACACACAACTGTAGACAGGTCCCCTTAGAAAGTGCTCTTAAGATACTCATCAAATAGGAATACGGAAAGGGATGCATCACGTTCTTCAAGCATATTTTTTAGGTCATTTGAATAACCTGCTAGCCGTCTCACACGTTCGGACAATGAGTCCATGAAATGTTCCTCGATATAATGAGCTGCAGCCGCATCCTGTTTCGAATGATGCTGTGCTTGAGTGTGAATGCGTAACGCTTCTTCGGCAAGTTGCTTCTGACTGTCAAGTGCTTTAGCCAGACTATTCAATTCAGTTAATTCCAATACTTTGCTATCCTTGATCTACAAATGATAATATTGATAAAACCTTCTTTCCGTAAGTGGAAAATGAACTGAAACAAATAGATGATACTCACAGGTTTCTTAGAACGTGGAAGCTGATTGAGATCCATTCTACCACCACGATGTGCAATGTATTTGATCAAGTCTATCGCTTCTTCCCACGATTTATCTGAAAGTTTGCGGTAAAGTCCCTTAAATCCTTCTCGATTAGCTTCATAGTTTCCGAAATGTGTAGACATCAGAAGAAATTCAAAACTTGTTTCTATATTAGCATTTGCATATGCCTGCAGCTCAGCCTGAAGAGTATCAATAGCTCCATATTTGGCATTACAGTTTGATATTAATCCACCATCTAGAAACATCGAGATAAGAACATACTTTTTGCCGAGATCACACATTTTCAAAAGATATATCTTAATGTGTAAAAAAAAATTAAAGATTAGATACTAGGATTAAATAAATGACGCAATTGTATCATCACAATGCAGCAAAGTACAACACTTTGAAAGATAATGTTAATATTCTTAAATAATTTCATGCAAACAAGCATCCACTTACTTTTGGGATTGGTGCTACAGGCGCTTTCAATGTCAGTATAACAGTATTCTCCGGAAACAGCCAGGAAAAGAAGAGGCAATACTCCGAAGAACAACATCTTTGCTGAAATTTAATAGATTATAAAAATAAATACTTTTTCTAGATGTAGTATATATATATATATACACGCGCATGGAATTTAGTATATTATTCGGAAACATTAAAAACGACAAGAATTGAAGAATTGAACACACAACTAGATGTCTTAATTTTCACAAATGTGCCGATTTATAAAAGCTGTTGACAACAACACGAGTGCTGATGATAATCACGTCCTTACGTTGTTTTGAAGAAATAGAAACATTATTTACTCAGTAACGCGGATACAAAAGAGAATCGAAGTTTAATTCGATCGATTGTTGGAAAATTGTTTGTGACTCGTAATAAGAATAGACAAGAATATTTCACAACACGTTTCTCTCTCTCTCGGAGAGAACACACGTGCCGTGTGATTGCTCGTGACGTACTCTGCGACGCAGCACAACGTAGACGCGACCAATAGTGCGCAATACATTTGTGATGTATAGTACAACCAAGTGCGACCCGCGAGAGAAAGAACCAAGAGTGAAAAAGCGCAGCGAGTCCTTTTTGAAAAGTATCTCTTAGTATACGCTACGTACGTGTAGAAGGAAATTGATGGAGCAAGCTTGAATAATGTCTCGAATCTACCTTTCTCGCCGCAAACAGTAAGCAACCTTCGGTGAGAAGCAACGTGAATACTCTCGCTTCGACGTTCCTTCGACAATGAACGTTGCCCAGCGCAGAGATGGGAGTTTTCACTGAGCAGAGCAGCAGCAATGAGTCAGCTGACAGGGGCAGAGGGGGGGGGCGCGGCGCAAGCGCAGGCGTCGCGCGAAAGAGCTAGCGGGACAAGAAACGGTAGATGAAAGCCAATGAAAGCCAATGAAAGCAGAAGATCTCAACGCCTTCGTTATCGTCGCCGTTGCCGTTCGTCCACGTTTGTCGTCGTATTCGTAGTCATCCCTGGTTATCCCCGCCTGTGGTTAAAGTACGAATGTCCCGCGTTCGTCGAATGATCATAGTCATTGTTGTAAGGTGATCGATGACATCCAGACGCGTTTAGTCGCCGTCGCCGCGCTTTCTTATCTAACTTCGACGAAGACAGCCTTCTATACCAGTGCGTATAAAGGTTGCTTCTGAACGAGGTGAACGATCCGCCGCGCCGTGCGTCCTGTTGCCAGACCACGCCAGACGCTTCATTCCCGGGATTCCAGAACTTGCCTTGGCAACTGCTCTTTCGAAGACTCTAGTCTCTTTGTTGCATCACGATGACGAGGCTGCTCTACGTCTTTTTCATCCTAGCCTGTATCAATGGCACCTTCGGAGACGGGCTCAAGTGTAAGTTTACAATCGACATGCATAGTTTCTCCTCCTCTCTCATCTCTTTTCCAACATCGCTCCTCATTGTTCGGTCCTTCCTTTGTCCGGGCTGTCTCTCCCACTTTCTCTGATGTAGAAAAAAATGATTTCATCATTCAATGCGAGCATTGTCTTTCGTATCTTTAAACGAAATGAGGTAAAAATTATAAAATTGAGCAAATTGGCTAGGTATTGATTAATGGAATTATTCTAGCAAATTCACTCACTTTTTTTGTAATTTTCATTTTATTTCAAAATACATAATCGATCCCTTGGTACCAAAATACGACGAGTAGTGCTTTAACTACTTGCGCGCCTCGTGAAACATGGAGTGACTCCGCGGGTGTATTCCGAATTACGCATGAAACGCATGATGTATCGTTTTATCTTTCTTTATTATTTGGTGAACAACAAGGACAAATGATGCATCATGCGCTTCATGCGTAACTTGGAACGCACCCCGCGTGAAAAGCAGTAAGCATGTGAATGCAATAGTTTGTTTTGATTGAGCAATGTGACCTTTGGAAGAGAGTTGTCCAAGCTCTTTCGATTGGTCTGCTCATGTCCGCCCTACCAATATAAGATTATCTGTAATCTCGGTTAAACTTACTGTTTTTTTTTTTTCTAAAATTCTTCTATTTTATTTCCAAACTCGACTCACTCTGATAAAACAAACAACTTTTATTATCAGTTTTTGCCTTCTATCCTTCCAAGATAACTACCTATGTTTGTGTAAAGAAAAAAAGTAATATTATGTATACAATCGTTTGCCTTTGTAAATATTTCATGAATACATTTGTGAATAAACACGCATATTGTGCTTATTACATAAAACCTTGAAAGAGATTTCAACTACATTTGGTTCTATAATACGCGGACATAATTGATTTTCAATCGTTTTGTAAACCCTATCAAGAATATAGTCTTTGTTCCTTCTTTCTCATTCTCTGTGTATAGGGTATTGTACAATTGATTAAGGAAACAATGAAATATCTGTGCTGTGTATACTCAAATTAAACTAAATTAATATTAGATAACACATTTCAATGTCGCGTTCACAAAATCATCTTGCCATAGGCGCGTCAACATAAATAGATAATACATACGATTTTAACAGTCCAAACTTTTTTTAATGAATTATAGAATTAAAATAGACATATTTCTCAATGAAAGTTAGCGACAAGGAAAACGTATTTGATCTTTGTGACACATGTGCATACGTCAAAATATTTTTCTCTTTCTATATATATAACCGATTCAGTATCACCAGTATTATCGCTTTACATGTCAGTACATGTATAAATGACGATAAAACTAGAGTCGTTAGAGAAAATCAGTAGCAGGAAATCGACAGAGCTATTATCAGCACACGATAAAGAGAACTGTATAGTCAGTGTCGGTACGCAGTTGCCTCAGCTGTGGTCTCTCGTGATATTTATGCGACTCGACGATAACGAAAATTTCTATTTAAAATTTACATATGTACATTTGAAAATACGAAAAGGACATCTTTTCACTTCGTCAACAAGAAGAAAGTTTAATTCAAAAATTAGTCTTATTGTAGAAAAGACTTTTTTTTACTTATAATCATGAAAAATTAATCATTATCAAGTAATTAATACTTATCAACATATGTCGCGTCTATACTTATCTCTTCTACAGCAAATCAATTCACTTCATCATTGACTTGACCTTGTTTTGTACAAAGATAGTCTTTGATGATAAGTCGCGATGGGATGTATACATACCGACTTCAAAGTCCGTTTCAATCTATATTACTCATCTACTAACGTCTATGTATACTACATCTATGCTACGTGATGCAAGTTCATTATGATAAATGATGATTCGATTCTGATTTATTTGCATATATTCTGTAAAATAGATTTAATTCTATTACGATACAAACAATTTTAATTTACAACTAATATTATATCAACTGAAATTATACATATATATAATATAGAATTACATGTTTTACAAATTAATTCATTTATTATGTAAACATTAATAACAGTTAATTTTATGATTGAGAATAATTTATATTTTTTCCAATGTGCGTAAAAAAGTAGAAATACAGATACAAATTAAAATAAAAGTAATGTGACACAAAAGATATCTCGTGATTATTCTTAATGTTAATCATTTACTGCTAACAGATGTTATCAACATTATGAGCGATCAGTCACGCATCGATAAAATACTTAATTTTTTTGATAACTGAGTGATAAATAATACCTGTTCTTATTATTTATTTAAGAAATGAGTTATCACGTAATATAGTAGACAAATTTCATCATAGACAATAATTAACCCTTACCGTACTAATATGGGTAACTAGTGACCGAGCGATTCCTGTTCGTGCAAGTTTCTTTGAGTCTTTCGGTAATTATAAATTATACTACATTTTATTATTTTCCAAAATAAAGAGTCAATATTTATTCTAGAAAGTTGAAAGTATGTTGGTGAATTTTTAGAGATTTTTAAAATTATTTTGAAGAGGTGAGAGAGAGAGAAAAAACAAAGAGATTTGAAGTGACCCTTGATGATATGAATGAGGCACCAAATTGTAGATGGTACGGTAAGGGTTAATATAAATTCAACAAGGCTTTTATTTGTACATTTAATAATTAACCACTAAATTAATCATTTTATCAAATCTCTTTAGGTCTTCTTAAACCTGCTGATATACCAACATCATGGATAGACATGACCGATCCGTGCACAAAACTCATGGAGTCTCAAGTTAAAACTGAAATGGAAGCTGCTATGAAATATCTCGCGATGGTATATAGTCTACTCGTTAACATATATTTTTCTCTTATTCTATATATATATATATATATATATAATACACAATATATACATCCTGTTATAAATTAACGAAAACAGATTGACTACAACGTGTTACATTAAGATTTAATTTTTCATTATATAGGGTGCTCACTTTGCACGTGATACTATAAATCGCCCAGGCTTTAGCAAGTTCTTTTTTGAAAGCTCGAGCGAAGAGAGAGAACATGCTATAAAGATCATCGAATATTTGCTAATGCGTGGACAACTTACAAATGATGTCAGCAAACTTCTCAAGTATCCTTTGGTGAGTATTTTACTTTCCACGAGTAAACACAACTTGCACAAATAGTTTAGATTATTGAGTAAAGATGATGAAGAAATAAAGAAAAAAAAAGTGTAAACACTAACGCGATTTTTCTCACATCATACAGACTACCAACAACACAAATCCGATACGCCAGGAATGGAACAGTGGAGAAGAAGCTCTCACCGATGCTTTAAAATTAGAGGCTCAAGTTACGCGCAGTATTCGTGATATAATCATAACGTGTGAAACTCCAAAAACATCTTCTTTCAACGATTACCACGTGAGCATCGTTTAAAAACAATCTTATATGTATACATATATATACACAATATACAAAAAATTACTATTGTGCCGCAATTGTTTACAGTTGGTCGACTACCTCATTACCGATTTCTTAGAGGAACAATATAAAGGGCAACGCGATCTCGCAGGCAAAATCTCAGTGTTGGGTAAAATGATGCAAGCGCATGGACCTTTGGGAGAATTTTTATTCGATAAGAAATTATTGAGTGGTGAAATCTAAGTGTTTTGGTGACATCAAAATGCTGAAATTCAGCTTGAGCTATTCTTTTCTATAAATACGTAAGATTTATAAAATTATAATGGCCACATTTAGAATACATTATATAATTCAGATTATTACATTACATGCAACCTTGTTTATATTTTATTGTAGAACATAAGATGTATAAATAACAGTTTGTTTCGAGCATATTTCTAAATGTGGCCTGTAATATTATTGGAGTATGTGAAGTATAATGTTTAAAATGTTTGTTAACCCATAACAATTATATTATCCTTGGTAAATAAATAAATAAACATTATTTTGAGATGCTGCATTATCTGATAATTTATTTTGCTTACATATCGATTATAAATGATTAAAATTAATCTGTAATTTACAGTTGTGTCAATAAGATACATAATATAACTCCATCATAAAAGAAATTTAAAGAAAAATCTTTCCTGTTACCCTTTATTTTTTAAATCATTGCTATAATTATGTGCAAGATATGAATGTCAAAGTATCAAATATTTTCATGATAACATTGTAATTGAATTTTATAATTACTTACACATACTTATAAAAGTAAAAATACAAAACGATCTAATCTTTCATAAAGTACCTTAATACAGTATAATTATCCAACTGCAACTTTTTGAGAGAATTGATCAGTAAATTTATATACAATGTTCTTGTAAAATTGCGTAATAAAAAATATTTCAAGGTATTCATGTTCTCTTGTCTTTGTCACAAATTATTATAGATATTCATTGTTAATAAAATTATTTGAGAGAGAGTACAATTTGTTTGGATAATGTAAGATTTATATACATTTTTTCAAAGTTGGATGTGAACAACTGTTTTTCATAGTTTACGTAATCTGTTGCACATAAACTTAATTCTAAATCTTTTGTGTTTTGATTATACAAGAAATTTATAACGCCTCTTGGTATCTTAGACGTTGAAAAGATATCGCAATAAGGTGCCAAACTACAGGAATGTTTATCAGCTATTACAATAACAGAATTGCCGGAAATTAAAATTTGTATTAATCGAAGAATCAAAATTTCTTCAGATTTCTCTTTAAGAATGATAACGCCTCTTGGAATACGACTTTGGATTACTTCTAATCTATCATTTTGAGAACAAAGTAACCATGCTCGAGTAAAATTGGAGAACACAGTCAATTTTGATGCGTTTTTCGAAAATTTACTAAAGAGAAAGAGATAAAAACAAGTAATAAACAAGTTATTGAAAGTTATCCAAAGAATAAAGAAACAGAATATAAATTTAAATAAAAGGATATAGATAAGTAGCTACACACACATATAAAATTTTAATAATCTAACCTATTATAATTTAGTATTGTTATCATTTGAGATAACACGTCTATTCTATTTGTAACTGACCAATTTTTCCAAATCTTGAATCCTTCTATAGCGGAATTAAAACAGATCTTAATATCATCTCTGTAATAAATAATAATTGATTATATGTTTAATGTATAAATTCGTTTAATGTATAAATTTGATCAAACTTCTTAAAGCTAAGAAAAAAGAATATTAAAATTTAACAATACGTATATGCATTCATACTTTGTCGCATTTGCCCATAACATGTTATTACGTTTCCAATACATGTTTTTTACAGGTTTGTGCCATTTGCCATCATAAAACAAATTACAGATTGGCATTGATTCCTTGTCGGGAACATGTAAGAGGTTTACTTCGTTTGCACTTGGTACTTGTATCAAATCATCATTGAAAGTAAGCTTAAATCCTTCATATATTTTGCCAAATACTTTTACATATGGTAAAAGTATGTTACCACCATAGAAATCCATATGCATATTTACAAATATAACGTCTCTCTGAATTAGCAATGGAAATTATACTTTAATATTGTTTATGAAACGAAATTTCCGTAATATTGCTTTAAATAACTAATTAATGTACATACATTTAAAACTGTTGCTAAATATCTTGCATATACAAGATCTTCTGACCATATCGACATTATATTCATGTTATATAACGTGCGGGGTGTAAATTCTTTCATCGATTTAAATACACGAATGGTCGATTTAAATATATGAAAATCTTTACAATGAAAATATTTCTTTATAAGCGACAAAAATTTCTGCTTAATTATTACTTGGACCCAAATTTTATTTATACGAGAACTTCCTATTCTCATTAAATAATTAATGACTGTATACAAATCTGAATCCTTTAGAAGTATCATTTCGTTAGTTTGATCTATGCGAAATTTAGAAACCTTCATTAAAAATTGAAACGTACATTTTTATTACATTACAAATATGTTATTCTTACTTAAAAGCTCATTTTTCAAAGAATTGTATTGAATTTGATCTAGTATTGAATTTTTGCTGAAAAAAGTAATGTATCTATAAAATTACTATGTGTTACCGACGAGATACTATTAATAAAGACGGTCGGTCCTTACCAGCGACGGAAGTTCGCGTGACTGATAATAAGAATGATAATACTAAGAAACTGATAATACACATATACATGGTACTAATTTCATGATTTATTAATTTCGTAGATATGTATATGTTTAAAATTTAATAATAAACTCTCTTTATTTAAATCTGTGATTTTAATATTATCATCAGAATTTGATTATTAATAGAGATAATAACTGCAGAGAAAAAATTGTAATGTTGCAATAAGATATTACAGCATCAAAAGTATACATACTTATTTATACAGCATTTATATGTATAATAAAAAATCATGAATTTAATAATACTTTATCGAAATATATAATTATTAATGTAATCGCAAATTTTTATTAATTGTCGATAATGTCATCATTCTTTGAATCAATTATCCCCAGATCCTCAAGGCCTCGTTGATAGTCGTGAAAATTTGCTCAGGACCGATCGTTTTTAATAGTATCTAGTCGGTGCAGTATGTACGCGTATATAAATATACATGTGTTATGTATAATATATTAAAATTTTAATATAAGAAATATAAGTTAACATGTTAAACAAATATTAAAAACACAGTTACATGATAGCATTTTCCAGAAATAATTGTACTTTGTGTTCTGTACATATATTGAAGATTGTGAGCACTACCGATAAGATTATTTCTTCTTTGTTGTATTCTTCATCTAAATTGTTTAGGAAATAAAATAAAAATTCAAGACGAAAAAATTTCTCATCAAATTATCTAATACGAGTATGCTTATTTTTATATGACGTTACTACATATGCAATTCATACTTGTAAGCAAAATATAAAAGTATAATTAGAAAACATATATATGTTGATATATTTTTACAAATGTATGCTTGCAAAAATGTCATACGTACCAAACTCAATACCAAACATAAATTTTACACCAAAATATTTCAGGTATTCAAGGATAGTGGTAACTATATCTACATGTTCACATGCAGAGTTGAAAAGAGATAAATTTTTTTCTATTATAAATGCTGTTTTAAGAAATCTGTCAATGAACAAAAATTAAAATAAAAGGTGGAAATAATTCAAATAACTATTACAATTTTACCATGCTATTTGTATATACCTTCAGATTAAATGTTTTGTTACCTTGTTGAAAAATCATTAGTATCTTCAAATTTTATATTTTTAGATAAAGTGAATATTTCTGTCAGTACTTCCTGAAAATATGCATAAAAATAGTATATAATATCTATATTTTACTGAAAATATAAATAAAACTTTTTGTTTGCAACATTAATATTGAATTTCATATTTCATAACATAATCTATTACTAGAATGTTTAGATATGTGTGCATCACACACACACAATGCGCGCGCGCATCATACATACATCAGTGATACATCCCAAGATCATATTCACCTTTTTGTTGCTTTTATCATACACCAGATTAATATAATATTCGTTTATAAGTTGCTCGCACATAATTATTAATAAAGTCGTAGTAATTATGTTCTCAAAAGTATCACGACGAGATATGTATCCAAGCAATCAGCAGTTACTCTTGCATTATGCAATATATGATCTTGTGAAAAAAAAATAATTACTTGGAACGAGAAAAGGGTTAACATAAGGCACACACCATCTGATTGATAATGTAATATTTAATAATACTATTAATAAATAAGATAAAGAACAATGCACATATACCTTCATTTATACCGTAGGAACGATCTAATTGCTTGATATACTGTTCTATATACACATAAAGATCGGAACATAAAATTTCTTTGGGAACAATCGTCTAAGTCTATGTGACACTTTCTTCGCTGCTCGCAAAATAAAATATTTAATAAGAAATAAATCTCTTGATTATTATATCACTCAATCTTCTTCTCTAATTAGAATTAATTCTCTGTACTGTACGGTATATCGAAATCGATCTTGACCTGAATTTTCAAGTGTTTTCAAGTTATTACTGACTGAAAGTTATTACGGATACGTTTTCGTTATTTTTGAATCGAACGTTTAAAAAGCAAGTCAAGTATTCTGCCAAATGCAACTACGAAAAAGTCTCCAGATTACACTCCAGTTAAGGTGCCTTTTCATGTTGACGCTTGACCAGGGTTACCAAATACTTGACAGGCGTCATCGCTGATGGAGGGCACTCGTGCCACCTAGGGTGCGTTCCGTTTCTCGCATGATGCGCATCTTTGACTATATACCTCTGGACTGCTAGTTACCCCCACTTTTCCTACCTTTTCCATAAGATAGAAAGAGAGGACCGTGTATCCAAGATCTCAGAGCC